ATCTATTGTCTTCAGTAAAGTTACTCCCACTGGTGTAAGACTAGCATGAGATCAGAATCAGGCCCCCTGTCTTCCTTCCCGCAACCTTGGAAACAAAAAAACAACCAAACTCTGAACTGCATCCTATTTATTTTCACTAGTGCTAGAGCAAGAGCCTAAGCTTGCTTCTAGATTAGGGACATTCCCCTGGCCGTGTATCTGCTTGAGGCACATGGAATTTGCTTCGAATGTTGTCAGTTCTCACTGCTTGGGAGGACGATTGGCCTTCTGTTTAAGGCCCAGAACTGGGAGTTAGGAGACCTGTTTTCTCTTCCTGGCTCTGCCACATATTCCTGTTTGACCCTGGGAAAGTCACTTTAACCTGTCTGTGCCTCTGTTTCCCCATCTTTACCTGACTGCAGTCCTCACTTGGAAGGCACTCTCACAATGCACTAATACCAGGGAGCAAGGTGAAGGCTGTCCTAGAAAAGCAAGCTAAATATTAGTGTGACTATGAAACATCTAGAGCTAGCAGTCTGCTTCCGCATAGCAATTAATAACACACTCTCTTTCCCTATGGTAGGTACCATCCGATCAAGGGGACATGGCGTTGAAAATGGTCAGGATGGTGACACAGCAGAAACACTGGTGAAATGGATGCCAGCTGGCATGGTTTTCACATACAACTCCAGTGCATTAGCAGAACTTGTGCCACAGACTGAACTTCAGAAGGAACAATCACTCTGTGGAAAGTTAGCCTCTTTTACACTTTGGTAATGTGCAAGGCATTTAAGGAGATGCATGGTTATTCTTAAATGAAATGCTGCCTTTGAATCTGTAAACTGTGATTCTCTGCCTCAATACTGCTCACCCTGACTTTTCCTATGAGAACTTCACTCTGATAAATAACACACTCCGACGCTTCTTTGAGGATTGCCCAAATGCTCTTTGTCTGTTTATGCACCAATATTAAGATGAGTTTGCTGCTCTAAAGATTCAACCTCAGGCAGCAAGCCGGCTTCCATAAGCTGCGGATGCTTTTTCCTAAACGGATGACTTGGCATCTGAGTCAGACAGCATTGCTTTCTAGCTAGACGCCGCAGAGTGGCTGTGCTAGGACTTCATTTTGGATACAGATCCAGTTTGGACTGAGGTGTGTGTTCATACTGAACCACTCTTTCTACTCTTGAGCCTCCTCTTTCTTGTGCAATATCCAAGATTCGTTTTTTAATGCACTCAGTGCCACACAATCATCGCTCAGTACTTAATATGAGAATAATCAATGTGCCAATACTTTCTCTTCATAGAACGAGCCAAAGTTCTAATGGATAAGAGCTGCTAGGCTCCTGGCTTCAACCCAGAAAGCGAATAGGAGAAGGTTATTTAAGCGATAAGGAGGAGGCATAAGTCAGAACAAATACCCCATCCATATTTTTCTAGAACTTGGATTGAGTCTTGCCGTGAGCTATTGGCTTTGCCATTTGAAGTGGAGATTCTTTATAAAGTGTAATTATCCCAGTTCCCAAGTGAAAACAATCACACACATGAAGTATTTGAATCACTTCATTCCTGGTGTACAGCTGCAATCCCCTTTGAAAATGACCCTTTTTATTGACACTCAGGCAGCTTGTTCCAGTTGTCAGAATCCTAAATAAATAGCAAACAGCCCTGTGCCTCCCCACATATGAAACGTAAGAGTATTAGCGTAGCAACTATTGCAGTGTAATGCTGTGTAAACACATGTGCACAAACTCTACTGTTAGAGCATCAGTAAGCTGAAACTGTGCTATGGGGAACTTTGGCAATGCAGAAACAATCTACCTTTCCAGTAAACCAGTGGATCTCACTTAAATGCTGCACCTCATGGAATCAAGTTGATTTGATGCCTAAAACCTTGTACCTCTATGGTCTGGCTTTGGGGAATAAAACCCTCAGTGCTAAATAATGAATCCAATAGTTACAACTATGCTGATCTATATATTGATCCTGCTCTTGTCACGTTTTTTTAACATGTTCTTGAAGCCAAATAAAAGCCAATATTGTAATGGATTATAGCACTTTCTGCCTAAAAGCAGCAATGGGAGGATACTGCCATGTGTCCCCATACGTTATAGGTATATGAGTGGTAGGTAGCTAACAGCAGCAAGTTTCTTCTCCCCTTGCCCAATGCAGAGAAAGTGTGGAGGGCAAGAATCCACCTGGAACCAGTGACTTAGAGGAACGGCTGGTTATGATCTAAGGGAGGGATCCAAGCAATTTGCCTTGTTCCTTCAATGGGGAATCATTTTCCCCTTTCTTAGTCATCGCCCAAGGTAGATGGTGGTAGTTCTGTTAGCCTGCAAGCTTTTGAAAACCGATTACTTCCTCTGAAGCTGTTTCGAGCAGGAGTACTGTATGCCAAGGTGCACTAGGAATCGCCTCTGTGCAGGGTATCAGTTAATGAACAGCAGGTTAGTGTGCTGTACATTTACACTCCAACTTGCTGTTCACTAACTCTTTCTAGACAAGCCCTTGCTGCTACTTCAATCAATCCCCTAGAGAGCTGTTGAATGGCTTTTGCCCTGTTTCCTCTCCCACTCCAACAGTCTCCGCCATTCCAGGCTGGCGCTTGTTCTGAAACACTGGGTGTCCCTGTAGTGCAGCAACCGTGAGGCTGAATCAGTCCATTGGGGTTCAATTAACTGAGCTCAATGCCTTTTCCCACACACTAGGGAGCCCAGCTTTTCAAGTACAGTTGGTATGTTCAGCTCAGCAGTGTAAGTTCAGTAATGTTCCTGATGCTGCTGCAACCCAGAAGGGATATTTTGGTTAAACAGCAGGAGTTGTAAGGCGGAACATACAGGTACAGTCAGGAGCAGCGCCAGGGTTTTTGCCGCCCTAGGTGGCAGCAGCGCTCCTCCACAGTAATCGGCGGCAGCTCCTCCTTTGAAGCTGCATTCTTGGCGGCGGGGGTCCTTCCGCTCTGGGTCTTTGGGGCACTTCGGCGGCGGGTCCCGGAGCGAGTGAAGGACCCGCCGCCAAATTTCGGCCAACGACCCGGAGTGGAAGAAGCCCCTCGCCGCCGAAATTCCGCTGTGGGCAGCGAAATGCCACCCCCCACATCCTGCCGCCCTAGGGTCGCCTAGTGGAAGCGCTCCCTCTGGGTACAGTAGCTGCTGTGACTAGAAACTCAAGTCTTGGTGTTGGGATTTTTTTTTTAGGCTTGCTCTATATAAATGTCTACGTATCACACTGAGAATTGAGTGTAAATGGAAAAACATGCTGAGACTGCGAGAATATGTAATCACTTAATATTTTCAAGAGCGCTGTGAACTGAAGGTGATGGGCTTCAGTGCTCACGGAGATGGAGGTGCTCAGGAGCCATTCGGATGAAATGGTTATTGGAAGGTCCATGTGCTGATCCAAAGAATTTTGAAGTACAATCTGCTCTCGGTCTCGCCATACGAGTTTCAAGGCAGCTTGGTACCCATTCACTTCCCCCAGGCTTTTGTCTTTCCAGTATAATTACTAACAAATGAGTATTTATTCATCACAACGTTCTTTACAAACCATACCCAGGAAACACTGGATCCACCACTGTGGTTCAGTTACCTCTGGAGTGGAATGCAATGGCTGTTTAATGCTGTACAGCATCACTGAACTGCCTAGGACAGGAGGCAAGGAACAAATCGCCCGCAGCCTGCCCCCGCCCCCATAACTGAGGGAGTTGCCCGCGGCCCTGCCCTGCCGGTACCTGAGGGAGTCGCCTGTGCACTCCCCCCCGGTACCGGAGAGAGTCTTGCCGCCCCAACCCATCCCCAGTACCTGAGGGAGTCTCGCTGCCACCGCTCCCCTCCGGTACCTGAGGGAGTCTCGCCGAATTGTCCCCCTGGGTACCTGAGGGAGTCTCGCCGCCCCACCCCACCCCCAATACCTGAGGGAGTCTCGCTGCTGCCACTCCCCTCCAGTACCTGAGGGAGTCTCGCCAAATTGTCCCCCTCGGTACCTGAGGGAGTCTCGCCGCCCCACCCCACCTCCAATACCTGAGGGAGTCTCGCTGCTGCCACTCCCCTCCGGTACCTGAAGGAGTCTCACTGAATTGTCCCCCTGGGTACCTGAGGGAGTCTCGCCGCCCCACCCCACCCCCAATACCTGAGAGAGTCTCGCTGCTGCCACTCCCCTCCAGTACCTGAGGGAGTCTCGCCAACCCACCCACCCCCCAGTACCAGAGGGAGTGTCGCCGCCCTGCCCTGCTCCCCCCGGTACCTGAGGAAGTCTCACTGCCCCCGTCCCCTCCCCATGTACCTGAGGGAGTCGCCCGTGCTCCTGCCCCCCCGGTACCTGAGGGAGTCTTGCCGCCCCGCCCCCGGTACCTGATCCCTGGTACCTGAGGGAAACTCACCGCCCCACCCCCCAATACCTGAGGGAGTCTTGCCACCCCGTGCCCCCCCCCGGTACCTGAGGGAGTCATTGTCCCACACCAGCCGCGTGCTCTCGGTCGGTGGCAGCAGCGCCCCCTCCAGGAAGAGGCTGAGCTGAGCCCAGCAGGTGATGCTGAACATTACCTGGGTAAGGCTGATGAGGCCGATGACGAGGCGCACTTGGCTGGGCTCCAGCAGCAGCCAGCACAGCAAAACCCTGGCTGGGATTTAGTTGGGGTTGGTCCTGCTTTGAGCAGGGGATTGGACTAGAACCTCCTGAGGTCTCTTCCCAGCTTAATCTTCTACGATTCTATGGTCACCCAGCAGCTTTGCATTGCAGACGTCACCTGTCAGTAGCAGCGGTGAACTACAGCCAGAGAACAGTGCATGCTGCAGCAGGGAATGACTGGATTCTCAATCACTCTATCACAATCATGTTCATATGGATCATCAATAATTATTGTGGGTTTTACCGACTGGTTTTATCGTAGTATTTATTTTTGACGACTCTGGAGCTCAGCGCAGGGCCAGGGCCCATATTTCCAATATTGTTCCCTGTTTCCTCTTTTTCATAGTGACATTCATGAGTATTTGGGCACCGAGGAGCAATCTGAAGAGCTCTGTGTGGCTCGAAGGCTTGTCTCTCTCATCAACAGAAGTTGGTCCATGAAAAGATATTACCTCCCCCACCTTGGCACAGAGGAGTGTCTGTTTTAGACCCTGATCCTGCAGCTGGCTATGCATGGGCATTAGAATATGGCTGGGTGGAGCCAGATGCAGGATCAAAGCCTTAATTATCATTTAAACTCTCTGTTCCCTTTTATCCCCCCAACACACCCCTTGTAAAGTTAATCATGTAAAACAATTCTGCTCTTACGTTCTAAGGAGAACTGATATTAACATCTTAAATCCATGAGATTGATGTCAGATTTACAGGGTAGAGCCCTATGCATATGTGGAGTCTCGTTAACTTCAGTGGATTACTCACATCAGAAAAATTACTCTTGTAGATAAATGTTTTTGGTTTGGGTATCTGCAAGATAGGAGCAAGGAGTTCTTATAGAAAGTGTCAAACCTGAATACCATGAAATGAGAAGCTGAGATGTGTGGACATTAAAAGAGAGAGAGAGAAATATTTTCTTAGGATTATGTCTCCAGGAAGAATGAATTTGGAAAACCTAAATCACTAGAGAAGTTGTGGAAACAATGATTGTACATCCTTTTAGAACACAAATCACTCACTGATTTTATATACAATTCCTTTCCTCATCTCACAGGCTGGATTTAGTATCCAGCATCAGAAAAACCAGTAGTTCTCATGTAGACAAGCCCAATAAACCCTGTAGCACAGGGGTGGTCTAACTACGGTCCGGGGGCCGCATCTGACCCTTCAGACATTTTAATCCGACCCGCAAGCTCCCACTGGGGAGCAGGCTTGCCCCACTCCGGCACTCCAGTCAGGGAGCAGGATCGGAGGTCGGCCCTGCTCTGCACGTGCCGTGGCTCCGCACATCTCCCACAAGCAGCAGCATGTCCCCCCTCCGGCTCCTACATGTAGGGGCAGCAAGGGGGCTTCGCATGCTGGGAACCGTGGCCAATGGAAGCTGCAGGGGCAGCACCTGCAGACGGGGCAATGCACAGAGCCACCTGGCCGCACCTCCGTGTAGGAGCCAGAAGGGGGGACATGCCGCTGCTTCCGGGAGCCTGCACACCTACCCCCGTCCTGGGCCCCAAGCCCCTGCTCCAGCCCTGATCCCTCTCCCGCCCGCCAAACCCCTCAGTCCAAACCCAGAGCACCCTCCTGCACCCCCAACCCCTCATTCCCAGCTCCACCCCAGAGCCCGCACCCCCAGCCGGAGCCCTCACCCCCTCCTACACCCCAACCCCCAATTTTGTTAGCATTCATGGCCCGCCATACAATTTCCATACCCAGATGTGGCCCTCAGGCCAAAAAGTTTGCCCACCCCTGCTGTAGCATAACAGGGAAATCAGCCGGTTTGGCAAGCTAGCTAAATCTGGCGCACAGATAGAACCATGTTAAGTGTAACTGGTAAATTATCTGCAGCACAGATATCTGTTGCATTTACCATGCAGGGGAGGAGAGAGGGCGCCCTGGGGTAGTAACTGCTCCCTCTGTAACCAGAGAGCCAGCACTTCCCTTTTCACTACGCAGCTGACTAGAGACCCGAGTCATATGATTTTCAGTCAGGAAACTCCCCAATTGCTGCAGAGATGGAGCTGCTGCTTAGACAACATGTTATCCTGCTGCTTTTCCTGCTGACTTTGGGTTCAGGTATGTTTGGTAGGGGGCTGAGTGTACGAGAGATGCATGTTTCACTAGATCCATGAGGAGTTATTGAAGCTAGGGGTGATGGACATTACTCACAAGCACCTTTCTCGTACAACTTGCTCTAAATTGACTGTTTTATGGCTTGTCAAACTTTCAGGCATTTATTGTTAGGTGAACACTAAGGAATGAATGATGCCTTCTTTTACCCTGCATACCCACCCCCCAGATATTTTTTGTGCTAGACCCTGGCAGAACCATCTAAATCAGATGTGCTGAGAGTTTTGTGCAGAGCTTTCAAAGTCTGATCCTTTTAAGGGGGTCTGTTCCAGGCTCACACTGTTTTAAGCTTTGCCTCTCCTGTGACATTAATTATGTAATCCCTTTCTTAGAACACTCTGGCTGTTCCTTTAGTCTTTCTCAGTGGAAAAAGTTCCCAAGTGTGTTCAGGGTCAGGCGCTAAGAATATGTAAGTACATATAAGTTGCCCCACTGAAATCAATGGCAAGTATTTGCATGACTCAGAGATCTGATCCAATGTCCTAGAACGTACATGTACATCTGCTGCGGGCGTATTCTGCACCCCTCCCATCTGTAGGAGTAGCTCTTTCTTTTTACTCCCGTAAAAGTAGCCTTGTATTACTGAAGTGATAGACAGACAGTCTCTTATTTATGTGGTATGCATAAGACCTGCTCTCTGAGGCCCTGATCCTTCAATAAGGAATATGTGGATGGCCCTTTGCCCCCACACGGAGTCCCATTGACTTTAATAGAACTTTGCATGGGTCAGTCTGCACAACCTCAGGATTGTAGGTTTGGGGATCAAGTTTGAAAATTGGGTGGGTCCAAAAATATTTGGTTGGGGGTGGTGCTTTAATTTGAACATGATGTGCCCCTCTTTAATTTAGAGCTCTGTGCTGTGCACCCTTAAGTGTCAGTCTTTATTACGTGGCTGACTTTTTTTTCCCTGAAGAAAACGGTCCACTTTCCCTACCTGAACAGCAGGAACCTAATGTGGGGTGGGTTAAAGATGCCAGCTTGTTACACAGAACTGGATTTAGATGGAATCTAACACTCTGAACTCTGCTGCTTCTAACCCTCCCCACCATCACTGGTCTCCCAGGACAAGTGAAGATAAGTCTCTGTTGTGTAACTTTTCTCAGATAAAACATTAATCTGACGACTAAGAATAATGTAACTGAGACGTTTTGGAGCTTACTGTCAGGGCTATTGATAAGATATAAGTGGGGAGACATTGTTTGTCTTATGTGGATAATTTTCTATGCACATGATCTATTAGCCTAGGTTTTAGATGAGGGGTCATACAATTGATGATCTTGCTGGACCTCTAGGGTTCTTGAAATAACTAAATAAATTGAAAACACAAAAAGGAAAAATAGTTAACAAGCTGAAAAAACAATATTCCTTGTTCAAATTGCACCTCTCTGACTTACTGCAAGCCATTGTGTAATGCAACATTTAGGGGGTTATAAGGACTTGTAAAAATTAGGCTGCCTCTCTGCACATCAGCTGTTAAACTGCTTTCAAGCCCAGTTTCAGGATTTTTCCTGAAGTTAGAACAATAACTTCGAGTCACACCGATGTTGACCATTGTAAGCAAGTGCCCAGTTAACTCCCAGTAACTGATTTAAAGTTAGAAGCACACTTCTACTGGGAAATTTATGTGGTTTAATTGCAAGCATTTTAGTTTACTTGAGGCTGACTTTCCTTCCTACCACAAGATTCTTGTGGCCTGGCCTTTTGGCTTCCACCTTCAGCTTCTATGATCCAAGCTCTTTGGTACTGGGTAATGGAGTATTCCCTGGAGTGAAGCTGCCTGAAAATTAAGGTCCCATCCTGCAGTTGGTCCTGGACCCTATACAGATCCTTGCACCCATTTCAATGGGGTCCCCATAGGCACATGATCTGCTGTTCTGGATCCAATTGTAGTATCAGGGCCACAGGTCTTTAGAGCTTGATACCAAACTCTCCCTGGGAGGTCATTGCTTGATTGGGCAGCAGAGACTTTTTCTTGAGTATAAGGCAAACGCATTGTTGCACTTCAAAGCAGATAGCATTTTTAGGTAATGGTAATAGTCCCAAATAGCTCGTCAACTAATGACACAGACGAATGCAGAGAACCGGTCGAGGGTGCTATCCTTATTTTTGAAACCATGACACGATGTGAACTGATGAGCTGAAGTCCATCTTGGCAGTAAGAATGAATGTGGATTATTGATGTTACAAAGTGTCAAGAAAAATATCAGAGGGTCACATCAGATCTAAAGAGAACACGGCTAAACCAATTCTGTTTATAATATCATTCTACATGGGTAACCCTTCCTCTACTTGCAGTGTTTTCAAAACATTCTGATAACGCTGCTAGCAAATTGTAGGTTTGTTCAAGGCCATTAATGCTGCTGCTCCTGAAATCCAAGTGAAACAGCGCCCTTCAGAATAAACAAGCACTTGAATGTGCTGTTGCACAGATGTGGAGCAGTTCTTAACCCAAATTTCTAACCAAAAAACGGAATCATTCCAGTACTATGCTCTAGGGACCAACCTGCTTCTCAGCTCCTGGACATTCCACATTGTTCTAGTGACTATTTTGTGATAAAGAAGACTAGGGAGGGGATTAAGCTTTAAAGGTCTGCTCCCTACAATGCATCTGCATCATACACCGTAGTAGATTATGCCCATTGAAGTTAATATGAGTCTTCAGCTGCCTTCACTGGACTTTGGATCAGGCCCTAATGATGACTTTTCTTAGGGCCCTTAACTTAACAATAGTTTGATACTATAAGAACATGATTTGATCTTGCCTGTAAGACTGGGACCAAACCGTTATACCCTGAGGCTGAAATCTTGGCCCCATTACAGTCAATGGAAGACTTGACATTGTCTTCAATGGCACCAGTATTTCAGCCCGGCTCTTTGCAAGTACTTAAAGGCATGTCTGGTCCAGAAAATTTATTCCAGCATTTGGAAAGCTGCACTGGTGGTAGCGATAATGGAAGGCCCCAATCCTGCTAACACTTAAGTACATGCATAACTTCATTCCTGTGGGTAGACCCACTGAAGTCAAAGTTATTTGCTGGATTTGGGTGGAAGTATGAGTGTAGTCAAGGTTCAGGTGTTTTGTTCAGTTGTAAATATTTTAGAATGAGAGTGTTTGTAATTACCACACCCAAAATTAAAACTCATGGGTCTCAGCCAAGTCTCTTTTGGTCAAATGTTTCAAGGCCAAATGTTTCACACTCTAGCTGGTCCGTTGACAATGTCAGTTGATAATCAAATGACAATGTCAACTGACTGGCTATTTGATCACCGTCAGTTATCCTAACAAGAATTCTCTGCTATAGGCAGTGACCTACCTTTTTGATTGCATCATGGTGCCATTCTTTCATTTTTTAGAACTTCATTTCATTGTGTTTCATAGTTTTCTGAGTTCCAATAACAGTTAAGAACTTACTTTTTGTAGTTAGGCATAAGTATCTATCTAAGGCCTAGCCTACTGCAGACCATAAAGTCTCTCTTTGTTGTTACTATTGTTACTGTTATAATAAATTAGTTCTGTAAAATATTTGACAATTTTGACATGATTTGACAATATCTGACCTCTCGTTGACCAATTATTTTTGGATTGGTCAAATGCCCCACTCTACTTGAGTGAATCAGATACCCCTTTTCTTTAGGTGCAGTTGTAAAGAAATCAAAAGAACAGAAAGAAGCATGGGGGTATGTAACAGTCAGAAGCAATGCACACATGTTCTGGTGGCTCTACTATGCAAACAACTCTGCCAAAAATTTCACGGAATTACCGCTCATTATGTGGCTTCAGGTAAGATATTGTGAAAGACATTTTTAAAGGAATCTTGATTTCTGCACCATTCAGCATAGTGATCTGCCATGATAGTCTAGCTATACAGAAATAAGATTCTGAGCTATGACTTATTCTCTGAGTCCTGTCTGAACTAGGTTTTCAGGTTAGAAAATAATACTGAACAGGTTATAAATCAATTATCTAAATTAATGGGACACCTCACCTGGGATATGTGTGTAGTTCTGATCACCCTATATCAAGAAGCGTATAGCAGAAACCAAGACAGTTCATTATTCTTTGGATTGTGATTGTACTTAGTGGCCTCAACCCCTTTGTGATAAGCACCCTGCAAACACATAACTAAAGGGCAGATCCAACAGTCTGAAGTCAGAGACAATTGGTGAAAATGATTAGAGGCCTAGAAAGATTTCTGTATGGAGAGAGGGGAAAGATTGGGACTTTTAGTTTAGAGTGGAGACCAGGTCTATCCAATCAGAGTAGTTCAAGGCAATGGGTTTTGTGTGTGTGTGTGTGTGTGTGTGTGTGTGTTATACTCACACACACAAATCCTAGACAGTATATTAC